GTTCTTCTAACTGCGAGAACTTATGTTGGACCTGAGCAAGATTCGCTTGCACATGAGCATCCTTCGCATCCATCTTCTTATGCAACTGATAAAGTGCTTGTTCCGAGAATGCCAATCTCTGGGAAAGCGTAGACAGTTTTGCATCTATCACCTGTGCAATCTTCGTCTCCATTTCACGCTCCAGTGTCTGCTGGAACCCTTTCAATATCATCTGTACATCTGGAGCTCCTCCCAGTCCAAGTCCAGCCAGTTTAGCTGCCAGATCTACAGCACTGCAACAAAACATCAAAATCCTATAAAACACTTGTAAACTTCCCTCCTCACCTCGTATCAACTGTAGCAACTGGTTCCATTGGTGCAAACTCACATCGAAGCTTTGGCAGCTTCAACACACTCTTGTCTTCGGTAAGAGACACAAATTTCACTGTTAAAGTCTGCAAACTCTTGAGAATGTCACAGTTGCGATCATTTTGCTTGAAGGCTGGAGACATCGTGAACATCTGCGGCTCGGAGCTCTTGGAGCCTCGAAATGTACCCAAGTACACTTCGCCCTGCTCTTCTTCGCCCAGCAAAGTGCGACGTGTGCCTTCTGCGTGCAATTCCACGTGTCGAGCGGAGCATTCAACTTCCAGTTGCAGCTGGTGGCAACGCAGCGGAGGAGACCAATGCAGCGACACTTGGCACGGGACAGGGGCGTCGGACTCGGGACGATGAAACTGCAAAGAAGAGAGAGACGCGCTGTCGGACTGGAACTGCACGGACACATCCTTCGTCGTGACCCACGAAGAGCGCCACGTCACAGACGACATGATTGGCAACGGCTTTGTGAAGTGGCATAGTGAAAGCAAGTGTTGGTAAACCTGTGAAAGTAGATCATTTACATCTTTTCAGGTAGCACCAAGTTATGGCTCTGGAATGGGAAGGTCGATGTTCTGGTCATCAAACCAACGCAACACCTCGAACTGGTGATAAGCCTGTGCCCTGACAGCTGCCATTGCTCCATTCGATTCGCGTATAGGAACTTGATAATGTCCAGGTACCCACCAGTAGCAGCAGAGTCAACAGCGGTGGTGGTGCATCCTTCTGTCCTGTTCTCATTGAGCCACTGCACCATTTCGAGGTGACCCCTTCCAGCCGCCGAATCCATTGCGTGCGTCGTGCACCCTGCGATCAAGTTTTCATGTAACCACTTTACCACGTCGAGATGACCATTTGTTGCTGCACCATCCATGGCCGCTACTGTGCATCTTTCAGAGTGATTCTCATGAACCAATTTCACCACCTCAAGATGACCATGTTCGGCCGCCCAATCGATAGCTGCTACACTGCAACCTTCACTGCGGATACCATACATCCACTTCACAATGTCTAGTTGACCACCTCGTACTGCACAATACATCGCTCTAGGCTTCCACTCACCAGTGTGGTGCGTACTCAGCCAAAGTAAAACCTGTCAATTGTCACCTTTAGCAGCACCATTAACTGTGACAGGCTATTATCGCACGTCGCCACTGTGCACCATCACAGTGACCCAGTATAGGCTTAATGGCTGTGACGGTCTCGACCCTAGCGCGAGTGTACGTCGGTAACGGGTTCGCATTAGCGGTAGCACTTAGTAATTCGTCCAGCGACCAAGATCAAGATGAACAACCCGTCCACGACGTCCGGAATCTCACTTGAACATGCTACCTTCCCTCACCTGTCGGTGATCGAATGGGAAGCACTCCATCGTCTCGCAGCGGCGTCGGGTGACAGCGTCATCAAGGTATTGCTGATGACTGGTACGGAAGAACAACAGCGGCTAGCTGTACAAGAGCTCATGGTGCGTGAACTCGCTAACCTTCGTCAGCGAGTGTCAACTCCCACGCAGTCCAAGAACGAGTCCGACATCGTGAAGCTCGAAGTCTCCATGTATTGTGGTGAAGGCGAGGGTCGCCTCCACTTGAACCGGTGGTTCTGTGAAGTTGATATCGTAGTCGAAGCTCGGCAGATCTCCACCGAGATCGCACGTACGCGGTTCCTCCTGTACAAGTTGGAAGGGAAAGCAGAGGAATGAGCACTCGGCAAACTCGTTACCGATGCATCCTGCTTCCCGACCGTGGAGCCAATGAAGGCCGGCTTGCGACTCGCATTCGAGCCGCCCCAAGATGAGAGCATCCAGCGCTCAGCTTCCTGTCGCTGAAGTCGGGACGCATGTCCATGCTCGAGTACATCCAACGTGCACGACATTAAATATCGTGCATCACATCGCACCGATGGACATGACAACGCAGGTCCATGTCTTCATCAGCGGCATAAACGCTGGCTACCAGTGTTTCTATTTGACGAAGAAGGCTCCAAGTACCGTTGAAGAAGCATTCGCGGTCGCCCTCCGCGAAAACTACAGTGTGTCGACATCGTAAGCATTCGATGTCTCTCGTCCCTGCTCCCGGCTTCTGAATCAGGACCAGAACCCATGGAAGTGGACGCAATCCAACACTACGGTGAACGTCGGCAGTCGACGTTTTCAACACGATCGCCTTCGACGCACACGTCGCGTCCGATGAAATGCTTCCGTTGTTGTAAACCCGGTCATCGCGCGGCAGTGTGCCGCGCACCAGCGCCTGTGATGGCAAACATCGCAAGTGAGAACGACGTCGCCGTTGCTTCAATAAAACGGCGGCAACCGGTAGGTGCGGGGCGCGTGAACGGAGGGATGGTTCTCTGGTGGCAGAACCTCCTCCTAGCCCTCCAGTGCTTCATGCACAGTTGTCAACTACCACCTCCGGTAGCGACTCGAGACTGATCGTGCTCAGTCTCCATGTCGATGGCGCGAAGCGTTCGATTCGCACGCTGCTGGATTCGGGCGCGGCAAACACCTTTGTTCGCGCCGAAAGTTTGTCGGTGCTACCGACGAAGATGTCTATACGTGAAGGGCCAGGTGAAGTATGCAGACGGCAAGCCGCGGCGGCTGCCGCGACCCTCGGCCACCTTCTCGTACGAGTTGATGGCTTTCGCGGGTCAGACGACTTCATGGTTATCGAGCTGGGCGGCTCGTTCGATTGCATCTTCGGGATCCCGTGGCTCGCTCGCCACCAGCCCCACATTGACTGGCTAACCAAGACTGTCCGTCCGCGCGACATTGATTGAATGCGGTGTTGGCGTCCCTGGACGGGATGCCCAACACGTGGCCACATGTTGCAGCCATGGACCCCGGCTCCATGACCTCCGCTGTTCACGAAGAGAGCGATGGTCCTTCGTGTCCGGCGTGCGAACACGCAGCTTGTGCCGGTCCTGAGAAGGGGTCTCAAGACGTGTCCAACGTGGTTGAGCAGTAGTTCCCACGTTCCGATGAGTAGCTGCTCTCGGGTAAAAATGATGTGGTTGAGTCTGATCTCCCACTCGCGGTTGAGCATGAGTTCCCGCGTGTGGTCGAGCGTGAACTCCCTGAAGAAGTGAAGGAAAAGTGGTTGAGCATGGTCTCCCACAAGCAATCGAGCGTTTGTTCCCGCGAGTGGTCGAGCAGGAGCTCCCTGTTGAAGTGGACGCACTCGAGTCCTGCGTTCCCCGTGTTTGCACCGGTGAAGTGTCCCGGTGCCCAAGTTCCGCAGTCATGATCGATCATGGTCACTCATCGTCTTCTGCCGTGGATGACACTCCACGCCCTGTTCGGCGCCGAGGTCGCTGCAATCACCGACGACCTCGTGTGCTTTCAGGAGACTCAGCTAGCGCTGAGTCTGAGGTCATCTCAGTTCTTGGAGAATCCTCGGGCACGTCGCGTGTGTGCGACATCGAGGTTGCATGCCCTCCATGTGATGCAGCCGAGATCACGTAGTTGCCTGATCTCCAATGGAAACATTTCCTGAGGGGCCTGAAGAAGGGCGACATCGAGCAAGTGTGCATGCTCGTGCACGAATACACTGCGGGTGCTACAGGGGTCGAATTCGACGCCGATGGCCCAGCGTTCGATACCTGGACTCGATCGAAAGGGGCTGAGCCGAAACGTGCCCGTGAGGCACGCTACGCTGCTCAATCGTTGCCGACACTCGAGTCCTCCGGTAACCCCGTCGCTCCTCTTGCCCGGGAGTACATTGACATCTTTCCGGACAAGGTCCCAGCCGTCCTCCTCTTTATCGTGGGGTCCAGCACGAGATCGACCTCGTGCCCGGTGCGAAGTACTGTGTCACGCGTCAGTGGCCGCTTCCTCGCGATCAAGTAGAGACAATTGATGCCTTCTTCGAGAGTCGACGGCAAGCCGGTCAAGTACGCGAAAGTCTCTCTCCACTCCAGTCCGACCTTCTGTGTGAAGAAGACCACCGGCGGATCGCCCATGTCTTCAACAAGCTGATCGATGTCACCATTCCAGCCCAAACGTCAATTCCACGGAAGGACATGGTGCTCGACACCATGTCTGGCAGCACCAAGTACAATGCCATAGATCTGATGGTTGGGTTCTGTCAGATCGTCATGCGCGAAGAAGATGTGCCGTTGACTGCTATCAGCACGCCGAGCGCGATGCTATGGGAATGGTTGGTGATGCCACAGGGGCTTAAGAACGCCCCGGCCACTTTCAACAGAATGGTGTCAAATCAGTTACATCCATACCGAGAGCTATTTCGACGATATCTTCACCAACAGTCGTGCCGAGGACTGCATGACCGATGTCGAGGTACATCTGGATCACCTCCGCCAAGTGTTCACGGTGATAAGGGAGAACAAGCTGTACACCAACTTGAAGAAGTGTATCTTCTGTGCCCCCGAGACTCCCGTACTCGGGAGCTATGTCAGTAAGAACGGTGTCCGTGCCGACCCGGAGAAGATTGAGGCCATTTGTGCATGGACTCCTCCAAAGGACCAGAAGCAGCTTTGCCAGTGGATAGGACCTCCACCATTACTCGAAGAACTTTGCGGCGCCGCTGCGACCATTGTCGCAGTTGCTGAAGGCAGACGCCACGTGGTCATGGCATTCTGAACACCAAGCCGCTTTTGACGCGGTGTAAACGAGCTTATCCACCGCGCCTATGTTGATTCTGGCCGACCACACGAAGTCATTCCACGTCGTGTGCGACGCGAGTGACTTTGCAATTGGCTGCGCGTTAATGCAGTTTGACGACGAGAGACGCAAACGAGTGGCGAGTTACCAGTCGCGTCAACTGAAGCCAGCGGAGCGCAACTACCTTGTTCACGATAAGGAGCTGCTGGTCATGCGCTACGCGTTCATCAAGTTCCGCGTGTATCTGTTGGGTGAACAGACGTTTGCTGTCTACACAGATCATGCGTCGCTGCGGACAGCGGCGAAGAACCCTCACCTCTCCCAGCGCATGGCACGGTGGCTCTCGTTATTCGCTGAATACAACTTTGTGGTGCACTACAAGCCGGGCAAGACCAACATGCGCTGACGCGCTGTCGCGTCGACCAGACTACGTGCAGTCGGGTCGCCATGCAATTGGTGACGAGGATGATGATGAATGCGCTGTGTGCGTCGTAGAAGGCGTCCCTGCCGTTGAGGTCACAGCGACAAGTCCGCTTCGCGACTCGATTGCGTCCGCGTACGAGGCGGATGTGACATGCTCCAAGATGATCAAGTACCTGCAAAACGGCGCTTCGCCGGTTGTCCCTACGCAGTCGCGCTCGCATCGACCGTTACGCCATGGACGGCAGCCTGTGGACCTACCGCGTCGATCGCGCGGATCCCCACGCGTCGTCGTCCTGCTGGACGACGACCTTCGCGAGCGCCTGATTCACGAGTTTTCATGATATCCCGAGTGGTGGGCATATCGAAGACGACTCAGACGGCGATGAGCCTGCGGCACTCGAGCAGGCGTCCGACGACAGCTCGGACGAGGAGCAGGCCACCCTGTGTGCCACACTGTAGACCTAGTGTATCGGCATCATAAACAAGTTAGCACACTTGCAACCTTTTCCGTAAGACAGCGAATACCATAGCTGATAGCTTACCACTTTGCACTAATGCTGTTCCTTAAACTGATCACAAGGATCTGTTCCAAGGTCTGATCTGTTGGGTATTCGAACCAAATGTCTTTTTTACCGTTTTGGAATTGTATATATCCTGCAAATGGCAACATTGCGACGTCATGGTGAAGGATGTCCTCGGGGTGAAGCTACGACGATTCTGTGGTGAAGTTGATCAAGAGTACCTCGTGAATAAGACTGAGTGATTGATTGACGGAAATGCCACAGCGGAATTATCCGGACATATGTCTACATATCCGGATCTGGTCGATCCGGATCCTGCATGGGATCGATGGCTTATGGCGGCCATGGATATACGTGGATATGTATCTGGGAGGTATGGAGATGAAGGCGCTGCCGAGGATCCGGAATGGGAAGGCCCGGATCCGCAGGCGGGGAAAGTTTGTGAGTACCCGTAAAGTTTGTGGGTACGCGGAGCCGGATCCGCAGTGATATCACCCAGGATCCTGGGCATCTACGTAGTAAGGGACCCCTGGGGATTACAGATCGCGAGGTTTTGGTGACGATCAAGAAGGTCAAGTGGGGATCCGGATCCGCCGGATCCGACTGCGGAGTGTCGACACCAGATGATTACGCGCAGATCCTGAGATATAGCAGCTGCTCCCACAGTAGCAGTACTCAGACATGCGGATCCTGCGTGGTAGAGATACGACAGGCTATGGTATAGGACTTAGGAATAACAGAGAATCGAATTTGCATCATTGGGCACAAGTGGTTGGTTTCTTTATTTGATCCACACTTAGTGTATTACGGACACCTCGGATCGGGACATTACATCGGCCCCACAAGGCGATCCGCGTGTTAAGAGTATAGGATCTAGCGTTAGTTTGGATAAATGGATAATATATTGGCCAGATCCGACTACCTAGTGACTTACTTTATACGTGCAAACTCTGGATTTTCGACATTTATTGCTTGGTCGTCGATCCTTCGATCTCTCCACAACAACTCAAGATCCAGTCATCGGAGACTGCAAGCAAGTAAAGGATTATCAAGGTCACAAACAACAAAGGCCTCAAGGACAACACACCAAGGTAACCCAACACTGCCCGGATCAAGATCCGGCTACCGGTGATCTGCACTCGAATATTCGTGCAGACCCCGGATCCCCACTACCGAGAGCAGAGCGAAGATTTCCGCGGTGATGATCACATCTCTGCGTCTCGCCAAGACGCCCGATCTTCATTCACTTGGACAATCTTCTGCAGTTACCGGGAGGAGCAAGATCAAGCCCTACCGAGGGGTACACTTGGTGAGGAAGTTCAGCTGATCACGGATCACAGGAGTACCCCCTCCTTTTGTCGGTGTCCTGGGCACAGTGGCAAGCCGGATCCAGCATCTTCGCAGATTTTCCTGATCCCGCTCCACCACAATTCCTAAAGGAAGTGAATACGTAGTGTAATCTCCGATATGCTAATGTCGTTCCGTTCTATGGTGCGAATCATCGTATTTTATCGTTTCACAACACGTGGGAATGGTGAGGTGGTGCCTTATCTCAAACTAAAAAACCCAGAAGGACGAAATGTCGTATGGAGAAGAATAAATGAAGTTGCTGCTGGACTGGGATATCTCCATGCGCAAGGGATTGTACATGGAAACCTGAAGGGCAATAACATCATGGTGGACCACCACGGCATCCCGATGCTAATTGGCTTTGGTTTGAGTTTCCAGGAGTCAGGATCGTGCTCTTTAACCAAGATGAAAGATACACTAGGTCCAATGACGTGGCAGGCTCCGGAGTTTGCGCATATGACAGATATGCCTCCAACACACAAATCGGATGTGTGCTATGTGTATCGTTGAGGCGAGGTCAAAGTCAAAAGACTTGCCGAAATGACGGAGCCACAATGGGACTTGGTGATGAAGATGGTTCCATTTGAACGCGGATGTGGTTCCAGAACTAGCTGTGTTCGGGGACGAAGAGGAGACGGAAGAAGCACATATATAGTCCAATCTCAGATCAAAAAGTGGTAAGGTCGCTCGCTTCTTTATTCACGAATCTCGCTCTCTGCATGACGGAAATTCAACGGTAACTTTAGATGAACACGTCAACTTTATTGCCTTGCTGTTTAGTAGTAAAGATATCCGTCGATCCTCTAGCTGAAGCCGCCCCAGTTCTTTTCATAGCGTGGATATTCGAGCGTGACACTTTGCGCAGGCCGGTGAGTTGTTAGTTTAGACATCTCAGAGATCGAGTCGAACATGCCAGACACAATTCCTCGATGGTGATATGACAGCTTGATCACTTTCGTGTAGAACCCTCTCTGCAAGTACACCACATTTGAAGCTAATGAGAGGCAGGTCTTACGCATCGGTTTAACGAAAACAACGTACTTTTGCCAGCAGTCGACGCGTCCACAGCTGAATGTATCTGCACGCTGCAATGGCCTCAGCACTCAACATTTTGGTTTTACTCTCGTCAATGGCCTTCTGTAGTAGCTGCACTGATCGCTCCAAGAAGCGCAGTCGACGTTCGTACGAGTCGAGATTGGTCTGGTAAAACGGCGGATACAGTAATTTCCACCCTCGCACCACTTCTTCTCGGCAGAATGCCATTTGACAATAGATCGGATCCAAATGCTTCAGCACCTCCCGACACCAGTTCATCGGCACTACGTGCGCATGCACCCACAACGTCATGTCTTCCATCGTTGCATCCAGTTCACAAGCGTTAAACAAAGCTTCTTGAGTGCGCTCGGTCATTGCTACACTCTTTTCAGACACCAAATTCCTATCTAACGTCAGCTTTGGAGGTCTGGCAGTCAGAGGACTTGCGAAGGAATACACTCGACTCTTTGTCCCGCCTTCAGAATACCCTCGACGACGACTTTCATTACGAACAGCAGACTCCGGGCCCTGATCACGCGGAGATCTCAATACGTAGCTCTTGCCTTCCCTACGGCCATCGTACGAGGTGGACGGAGCAATTGGGCCCCAGTCCGCCATGATGATGTTGAAGTGACGTCAGTTTTGTGCCTCTTCGATCTGATTGGTAGAAACACTGAATGTCACTAAGACACTTTCGTGGGATTGAGCAAAATGGTTTTGGCGCATCTGCGTCGATGGAGACCTTTGTCTGCGTGGCGTGGCCAGTACGGAGTACGCAGCTTCGGCACTGCTGACGAGTATACATATCTGGAGCTGAAGCAGCTGAAGGACAAAATGAGCAGTAGCTGCTTATATATATCACAAGCAACTAAGTCACTTGCGCAGCGGTTCTTGTGGGAATGCTCCAGCTTTATTCTTTACTTATCATATAGCGGAATGAGCTCACTGTTTTCTCTGTCTGCAAGGCCAAACGCAACGGTCGTATCTCCAAAGCTTCTCGTCCCAGACTCGTCCCAGGCGTTGAAGCCGCACACCCTGTGCTCTTGTTTCTCAAACTATCTTTTTGACTTCAAATCGGTTTGCCTTGCATGCTTCCAAACAGCACAACTCTTTCAGCACTCGCAGCACTCATCAAACAATATAAACACATTGCTGCAAAATCCTTTTATCTCGGACTCGGCCTTGACTCCACAAGCCCAAGCGCCAAACCCCTCATGCCACTTTTGTGACTCTCTCACTTTGCATCCCACACTTATCGCGCGTCTTCGTTTTGACAGGCGGCTTTTCTCCCATTACATGGGTTTTTCCTCAACACTAGTTTCACCTCCACCGATTTCTCGCACTCCAAGAGTGTATCTGTGTCGCCGATACGCCTCCGCAGGCAACGGCTTCGTCATGGTGTCAGCCACATTAGCTCGCGTAGTAACTGAACTAATTTGCACATCCCTCGCCGCTCGCGAATCATGAGATCTTTGATTCTGAGCTGCTTTGTGCTCCGGTGCTTTCCAGCATGCTTCATCAGTTCAACAGCACTGCTCGAATCACAGAATATCTTCGTGCTCTCTCTTAGTAGCCCTAATTCATCTACCAACTGCTCAAGCCAGACAGCCTCATGAAAGCCTTGATTAGCCGCAATTAACTCCGCCTCACAAGGGCTTGCCTCCAAGATTCCTCGCCTCTAACTCTTCGCAGAAATCAATTGGCTATTGCAAAACACTGTGAATTCACTGACTGATTTCAAGTCTTCTTGATCAGAAGCATAACTCGCATCTGCATAGACCTCAATCTGAAGCTTTTCAAATTTTTGTGCTTCATTCAAATCGTAGCGCAATCCCATTTCACTAGTGCCTTTGACACCTGTTGGCTGCTTGCCAACGCACCACTCCAAACTTCTCCAGAAACTTACTTAGAATCCGAAGAGCTGTGGCCAAATCGGGTCTCGCTCCACTCACTAAGTACTGCAAGCATCCAACAAGGCTCCGATACGGCAAGTTCTTACTCTTCATTTGCTCGTCCTCAGTAGCCTTGATCATCTTTACTGCATCAGGACACATCGGTATTCTTACCTGATGTGCGT